TTCAGTTCGGTTCAGTCGCTTAGTCGTGTCCAACTCTTTGCAACCCCATGAACCACAGCACGCCAGGCCTCCCTGTCCATCACCAACTCCCGGAATCCACCCAAACCCATGTCCATTGAGTCGGTGATGCCATTCAACCATCTTATCCTCTGTCGTCCCCTTCTCCTCCTGCCCTCAATCTTTCCCAGTATCAGGGTCTTTTCCAATGAGTCAGCTCTTCGCATCAGATGACCAAAGTATTGGAGTTTCAGCTTTGACATCAGTCCTTCCAATGAACACCCAGGACTGGTCTCCTTTAGGGTGGACTGGTTGGATCTCCTTACTTAGCTCTTAGTAGTGGTATCTTGTTTTTATGAGTAAAATAACATTGGTTTCCTTGCTGGAAACTTAAATGTTTGCCCACTAAGAAACATATGGTCACCGTAATACCCATGTGCAATTGGCTGACTATATTACAATGTGTCCATACAATGAAATAAAACACTCTGTAGCTGTTTAAAAGAATGAGATAGTTTGAAATGTCATGAAATGGAATGCTCTCCAAATATATTGTCTTTATTTACTCTAAAATATTTAATGTACAACTATATATGAATATACAATGCTAAAACATGTGCTTTTAAAAAATGCTTGGAATAGATGAAATTTGTTCAGGTCACCCTGTAATACTGCTTCATTTTTTTTCAAGAAGATAGAAATATAAAATTTATCTTGAAGATATTTCAAAATAGCCTGACAATGAAATGTGTGAGTGAAGAAGATACAGATTATCAAAAGACCACGTGGAAAGAGTGCAAAAGTAGCATACTTAAATTGAATTGCTCTTCCATTACTATTTAATCTAGATGTACCAAAAATTCAGGGAGAATGAAATCAATAATATGGCTGAGAGAAATTTATGAGATATTTCAGGTAAAATGATTGCAAGTATATAACAGAAAATATTATATATAATATACATAGATACACATATTCTTGCCTGGAGAAGTCCATGGACAGAGGAGCCTGGCAGGCTACAGTCCATGGGGTCACAAAGAGCCAGACACAACTGAGCGACTACGCACAGCATCCATAGATCCAGTCTTCAGATAGAGCAACAGCATATACCAGACACTGTTTATCCTCCTGTTTTTCTCTCTGCTTTAATATTTAAACCTCATGCAGAGAAACAGATTCTAAAGTTCTGTGACGTTCAATATTATTTTAGTATACCTAAATATGAATGCCTGCCAGATTTCTTTCCCTCAGAAATTATGTGGAACCTTTGTCATTTTATGAAATAGTTTATTTGTCTTCCATAAACTATTTCTTTTCAAAAGTGTATTTTTTATAGAAATTGTTGTAAGAACTTATTTCAGTAAGAAAGATGAAACATTTGATTATTAAAATTACAATAACAAAATTATTACCTATGGGGATTTTAATTATAAATAAAAATATTTTAATAGCTTTAAGTATGTTTTGCTTTTAAAAATTAAAGCAAGTTGTTTTGGCCAAAATAAATATAAACATGCCTTAGAAAATTCTTAACAACATGTTTGAGCAGAATCAACATATTTCCAGAGCATCAAGATTAATTATCTTACTGTATCCACCACAATAAACAAAAGCAGAGCAACAGAACAGCAATAACTGAAGACATCTGTATTCTGATGTGGTGTGATAGTACAGCTTCATTCCTAGATTAATTCCCAATCAATATGTTATCACACTGCTAATAGTTATAACCGGAGGTACATATATATCATATTTCATAATATTTTATGCCCAATTGTGTCTTTCTCACCGAGTTACAGGCCCTATAGACATCATATTTATTTATTAAAGATCATATGTAAGCTACCTTTGTCTCCAATTTTATTTTAAATATATCTTTTATGAAGTCTTCATTTTCCATAAAGCATTTGAGTACTCAACTATGAAAAGTGAAAAAAACTGCTTACCTGAAAAACTCCTAAGTTAGTACCACTGTTCAAATGTGTATATATATATACACATATATATACACACACACACACATATATACATATATATGTATGTATGGCCATTACATTAAAAACCCATTGAGTTATACACTTGAAATGAGTGGATTTTATCTCAATAGAGCTATTTAAAATAACTTTGATAGTGTCTTTCTCCAAGAAATACCAAAAATTGGCACTTATCTATGGCTTATTTTAAAATACTACTTTTTAAGAAATGTAACTAAATGAGGCTTTGGCCAGTTCATAAATAAAAATAGAGCCAATTACTTTGTTCATATAGTGATTTTAAATAAATTTGTAAGATACACCTTACGTATTTGCAATATTAACGCATCATTTTCATTATAGCTATTTTTCCACCTCGGATTTTATCTACTCGACCAGGACAGAAAAGTCCAGTTATCATTCATGATGAAAATTCCTCTGACAAAGACAGAGAAGACAGCATCACTTACACTACTGTGGACTGGAGAGATTTTATGTGCAAAACGTGGCATCTAGAACCCACTCTTAGGTAAATAATGGGTGTATATTTTTACCTATTTTCTATGAGATATTATGAGGAAAAGGTTATAAATAATTCAGTAGGTTAAATGTGGTTTACCAACAAATATTTTCATGTTAATCACTTATAACATCTACAGCGGCCGACTTTTTGCTTTTCTGATGTGGTGTGATAGTACAGCTTCACTCCTAGAATAATTCCCAATCAATATATTATCACACTGCTAATTAACAGTTATAACCAGAGCTACATAATACATAGCATATTTTGTGTTAGTTATCTGTATTTAATAGAATTTGTGGTAACCAAATAAAAGCACTTTGGTAGTAATAAGAGAAATATTAACAGTGTCAATACTCAGGAGCAATATTAAGATACTGCAAAGGTCCTAGTGCAAAAAGCTAGTATATATAAATCTCAAATATAGTGAAATTGACTATCTTTTAACTTAAAATGAGAATAAAAGGTTAAATTTGCCATAAACATTTATTTTTCTTCTTTAGAAAACTATCAAGAGACTAGTTAAGTTATATGATATAGTAGTGGAGAATGTGGTTAAAAAGCTCTGCTCTAAGCCCAGCTATATAGCATAGTGGCTAAGTGACCTGGGCCAAAGGACCTAACTGTCATAGCTGCCTCATGTGAAAATTTTGGAAAACGGTATTACCTACCTTATACGGGGTTGTTATAATGGTTAAATGAATTAACTAATGCAAAAGCATATAACTATTACAGTTTTAGCAGACTAATGATTAATACCCTCTTTTTCCCTACCTAAGTTCAGGATCAATTGAAATAGTGAGAGGCAGCTAGAAATCAAAATGACAGCTTTAATACTGATAAAGCTGAGAACAGAGAATGTTGTTTAGTGTCAGGCAACAATGTCTCTATTACAAAGTCCAGGTCTGGCTTACCTACAGGGTCTCAATGATACAGCACTCAGGGGGATTCAGGGTTGGGGGCAGAGGGATGCTAGAGTTGTGCAGTCAGCAGACCTGCTTTCTCACCTAGTTACAGGCAGCCATAAACAGTCTTGAGCTAACTATTTGGGGACCTGTTCTTGAAAAATCTCTGGCATGGAAGAACAGTTTAAGACAAATGGCTTCTAAAGAGTAGGTGGTGAGGAGGGTACTTAATTACCCTACTCATTTCCTCTGTTAATTTGCCGAGTAGATAAACCATCAGTAAGGGGGCAGAGAAAGACCAAGAGGATTTCATTAATGCTGTTCTATATGGAAGGAAATATGGTTCTTCTTCAAAGATGTTTAGCACATAGCAAACAGTAAATTTTAGTCTTTTTCTCCCCCCGTTTTATTGAAGTGTACTTGAGAAAATAGATACTTTAAGGGTATAACGTCATAAATGGATATACATGTACATCATGAAAGGATTTCCCCCACCCCATCAAGTTAATCTTTGAGTGAAACAGGTGTCCTTTAAAGGCTTTAAGACCACATCACTTGAGGCCTGAAATAAATCAATCAGTGAAACACACTAAACTCCACTGCTGTGTAGGCTCCCACAGTTTTTGAGTGCTGTTATAGTGAATCTAGGAATTATAGGTTAGATGGTCAGTTTTATCTATTGAAAATATTTTTCTTGAGCATACTTTGGAGGCTTAGTGATGTTCCTGAACTTACCTTCAGGACTGTGCTAGGGCGCCATACTTAATAGTAATGATTTATAATTATTTTAGATTAATTTCTTGGACTGGAAGAAAAATTGACCCAGTAGGCGTTGATTATATTCTTCAAAAATTGGGCTTTCATCATGCCAGGACTACTATTCCTAAATGGCTTCAAAGAGGAGTCATGGACCCACTGGACAAGGTTCTGTCAGTTCTTATTAAAAAACTCGGTACTGCACTACAGGATGAAAAGGAAAAGAAAGGAAAAGACAAAGAAGAACACTAAACAGTAACTTAATCTGTGAACAAGCTTTGATTCTGTCCGTTAAGCTTTATTACACTGGAGTGTTGGGGGTGGGTGGGTTTGTATAATAAAATTATTTTAAATATAACTTTAAAAAATTTAATTTTGTGGCCATTATATTAAGTTTGTAACTTAACCTGTTTATTCTAGTTCAACCATTCTGTACACAGTGAAGTATTGCATGATAATGTAAATTTTGTGAAAAACTAGATTAAAATATACAAATCTGTTCAGTAAGGTTTATAATTATATTATGTGCAATATGATTCCTGCATCTTTAAAATATTTTCAGAATAACTGTGAATTTCCTTTATTATTGGCCATAACTTTAGAAAAAATCTTGTTGATACTGTGAGGGGTTTTTTTTGGACATTAATTACTTTTTCTTTTTTATTTTAAACATAGACTTGTATAAATACTTATTGTATATAGTTTGAGTAACTGTGATATGAATAAATACCACTAAAGTATTGTTTGTAACTACTGTAATAAAGTCACAATAATTGATTTCAGTCTAGTTGTTTGAGATTTTTCTTCCTTTTATAGTTTATTTTTACAAGTAATAGATGCCCCTCCTGTGTCAGTTACTGTGTCAGTTAATTATTTCATATGAAATAATTAATACTTATAAAAATTAGCTCTGGGAGAGGCATAGCAGAGGCTTCAGAAATACTAGGTATTGTTCTGTTAAGCTACTGGTGAGTACACAGCTATTCTATTATACTGTGTTCTTTACACATTTATATGTATTCTTTGTGTATATGAATTTGTATACTATACATATAATAAATAAAAAATTGTAAAAGGAATAGCAAAATATAACATTCAAAGGTAGCTATAATACTATTAATCACAACTCAGGTTTGAAATCTAGCCAAGTCAATATGGTCAGTTGGGTCAACAGTAGAACTGAAGTACCATGAGCTAGAAAACACCTCAAGAAAGCCTCTGGTGCAGACTTTTGTGCTTATTTTCTCTGACAGATCAAAAATTAATTACTCAAAATTAAAACTACTCAAAAATTAATAACTCAAGAGTTAAGACACTTAGCCACAGGTATGTGTGTGCAGGTATGTATGTAGATACATATGTATGGTAAGTGTTGGTGGGAGAATTAAGAAGTGCTATGTATGGTCACACAGCAATTCAGTAGCAGAACTAAAACCCTAGTGTCTAGAGTCATAATTTTCTATTTCCCCAAACCATCTTATGCATCATTTTCCTGATCTCTGTTCCCCACTTGGCAGTTCTAGCGTTGGGAGCTATACATGTATATTATTGCTATTGGTCAAGCTTGCCAGAGAAGTATCTAAGATAGTTACTTTATAAAACAAGTAAAAATTTTTTAAATTAATTCCTTGAGTTGTACTTCAGGTATTAACTCTCTGCTTCAAAGAAACAGTGTGCTAGTAGTAAGTTCTTAAATGTTAAAAATTTCCTATGGTTTTTATGTTGATATTGAGATTACCAAAAAATGACAAGTATCAACTCTGTTTCTGGCCCCTTCTGTGATAATGCTTTAAAAAGAAAGCTGCTGCTGGAGCTGTGTGCATGTTCAGTCGTGTCTGACTCTTTGCCACCCTGTGGACTGTAGCCCACCAACCTCCTCTGTCCATGGGGTTTCCCAGGCAAGAATACTGGAGCAAGCTGCCATTTCCTCCTCCAGGGGATCTTCCTGATCCAGTGACTCAACCCGAGTCTCCTGCACATGGATTCTTTATTGCTGAACCGCCTGAGAAGCCCAGAAAAAGAAAAGGGGAATATAAATCTAAAACTGTTCAAAATTCCTGTGGCTCTATTGGACAAAACTATGAGAAAAACATATTTTGGGGGACACTGCTAGTGGGAATGTAAATTGGCACAACCCCAATGGAGGACAATTAGGCAAGAGCTATTAAAGACACATAATCTCTTCCTGAACAGTCTCATTCATTACTGGGCATTCTTCATTATGTGTGAAATAATTATGTAAGAATATTCACTGCAGTATTCTTCATAAATGATTGGAAACAATTCAAATGTCCATCAATAGAAGACAGATTAAATGGCCCACTTAGTGAAATAGTATGTAATTATTAAAAAAATGATCTCTAGTATTTATTCTTGAATGAAAAAAGCATGATACAGCTCTGTGTAGATAACAGTTCCCAGGCAGTCTGCCAAAATTATATTTTGAGTATCATGTATCTTACCCTAGACTAGTAAATCACATTACACACCTAGATTTTCTATAAAATTCCAATGATGTAACAAAATCAAAAGGATTCACACACTATCTAAAGAACCATTTTTTAAATTGCCTATTTGAAACACCAAATACAGATCTGCAGTATCAGTCTAAACTACCAGAGCAATACTTGTAAAATACAGTAAAAATCAATTACTTGAAATGAAAACATTTTAAACAATATTCAAGAACATATGAAATGAAAGCTCAAATTTTAAACTTTTAGATTCAGTTTTACTATTAGTGTTATGTTCTGTAGACTACTATAAGAATTTCTAAACACAAGCTCTCAATTTCTATACTTCTTACAGAACATTAATAATTCAGTGACCTCAGTCCATGGACTATGCTAAACAGAATTGCTCTAGAACTTTCTCTATCCTCACTAAGGAATAGTGTCTTCTAAAGTTTAGTGGAATAAACCTGATTGCCTGCATGGGCTTATAATCTATGTTAACTACTGGTAGCGACGGACTTGGAATGCTGTGCCCTTCACACAGTGAGAGCTAGATACCCATCTCCCTTTGTCTCTAGCACATACTCTAAGGTCAGTTGAGAATCTCTTTTTGCTGTTGTTTCCATTCGGGACCTCAAGCATAGAATACCCTTAACTAGACAGATAGCCCTCAACTAAGCCCAGTACTCAGTAAGTTCTGGATTTGTGAATTTTGTCTGCTTTACCTGTGTAGGTCAGAGCTGAGCAACTCAAAGCCCAGGAAAGGCTCTGAACTCAAGTTCAAACAGTTTTTTCAGACAATGATATGTGATAAACCCTAGCAAAGCTCTCAAAAGAACCATCAGATGTTGGGAGGCATTTCTGAAGTGAAATGCTGTTTAAAAAAAAAAAAAAATGCCAAAGACAGAAAAAATGCTGTCAAAAACGATGGCAAGAAGACCCTGGTCATTAGGTGTATACCCAGTGGTCTAGATATGGGAGGTAACAAGAAAGCTGAGTGCTCAGAATGAATACAGGTAGATCAATCAGGTAATCAAGTCAACTGCCAAGTAAAGTGGTGCTGGATAGACAAATAGCTAAACTACCTCTCTGATAAGCTCCTTTCCCGAGGCTTCATGTCTCCGCTATGAGTGCCTTTCCAGAATATAACAACCCAATTTCTCTCCCAACTTGGTGTTCACTACTCCCCAGAAGTGACTTAATCCATTTGGGTGCTCTGGAGACAAGAAAATGCGCTAAGCCTTTTCTCATTTCACCTTATGAAGCCAGCCTGTTCGCAAGGAGGATGCAATTCTGATTTCCTCCCTTGTGCATACTACAAGGGGGCAAGCAAGCTGGGTTTGTCCAGTTTGTATTACTAGAACAAGGAAGTTTGTGTATTTAGAGAGTGACAGCAACCCCATTTGGCCAGACAGCTGAGCACATTTTCTAATTTAGATTCATTAGGCAATAAAGCTGACTTTTAACATCCATAACTCTGATATGTGTCTCAATGAATTTCCACCTTTGGAGAGGAGGAAGCAGGTATTTATTGATCTTAAGCATAATAGTTTTCTTTTTAAATGCTATACTATTACTATTGTTAGTATGACTTTAATATTAGTGTCTTATTAACAGGTTTATTCATTTTTTTAACAGAATGAAAATTTACCTACCTTACAATGAGAGAAAGCTGATGCCATGGGCTTCACTAGTTTTATCATTACCCATATGCAGCTGGATTTACAATGGTAGACTAGCCTATTGAAGATCCAGTGATTTCTCAATCTAAGAAAGATATATAGCTGAGGTGCTGACCTACACAATGTAGTAGATGTTTTAAACTAGTGTTCAGTATCTCACACTGTTACCTCTCATAAACAGAAGATATAGATCCGATAACAGAGTTGAGAGATAAAGTATCTCCTTTCACTATTAGACCAAACAAGCACCTTCAAAATGTATACCTTCATCCAATTCCACTGAAAACAGCTCTCAGTATCCAAGGGAGGAATGTTTCCATGAGGAACACACAATGGTCTCATTAAATTAGAATCTGAGGTTGCCACCTAGTTATTTGGGTTTTAAGATGCCAACTAGTTGAACTAGTAAAAGGTACTGGGTACAGAACTGATTGTCTTATTAATAACTGGAGAAATAGGGTTGCTGCTACAAATGGGGGCAACATAGATCACTCCAAGGCAAACCCTATTCGTGCCTCTAAATAAGTGGCAGAGTACAGCAACCACAGGCATCTCTGTTAGCACTCACATCTCTCAGAAAGAAAGACTATCTTGGAAGATATTCTCAGTGGGTCTCCCACATTTCCACACATCTTGCAAGCAAGACTCCTAACCATTCTCTGTTCAGGACTGTATTTTCAATGATATTTGTACAGCGAACAACTCTGGAAAATAGAGATGCTACCCAGCCCCAGAGCAAAGGGTAGATTTAAGTACAGCCCTGGAAAATACAGGGTCTCCTGTGTCATAAAAAATGAAGAGTTTTTCTCAGCTGGTAAAGAATCCACCTGCAATGCAGGAGACCACAGTTCGATTCCTGGATTGGGAAGATCCTCTGGAGAAGGGATAGGCTACTCACTCCAGTATCCGTGGGCTTCCCTTGTGGCTCAGCTGGTAAAGAGTCCATTTGCAATGCAGGAGACCTGGATTCAATACCTGGGTTGGGAAGATCCCTGGAGAAGGGAAAGGCTACCCACTCCAGTATTCTGGCCTGGAGAAGTCCATGGACTGTATAGTCATGGGGTCTCAAAGAGTTGACACGACTGAGAGACTTTCACTTTCAATATGAATTAACTATTCATAATTCTATTTTAACTTTTAAGTTCTTCTCTTGTAACACCACCTCACTGTGTGTGTAGCATTCATCTGAACCTATACATGCTGCTTCCATGGGTCTTGGAGACAAGGAGAAACATTCAGACATGCTGATACCCACACTGTGGAAAAAAAAGTTCTTTATCACAGACTCATGAGTCTCATGTGTTCTGCCAACATCCATGAAACCGGGGCAGGCTAACTATAAAGTTTTCAAGTACTGTACAGTAAAACCACAAATCCTCCATAGTTCCTGACAGATTATTCCACTGAATAAGGAGCCCCAATCATCTGAAACACTAACTGAAGGCAACTGACATGGAATGGGTGGTACAAGAAATATGCAACCACCATATGACCAACTCAAATGAGGGTTCTACCACCTATTTAACTTCTGTCTTGGGAGTTTTATGTGCTAAATTCTGGGACAAACATTTAAAAGTTACCTTTAAAATTTCAGTGCTTATTCACATA